AATTTTAATTTTGAAATACAATTTTAATGTATAATAATAAATAATAATAGTTAATAGAGAAAAGTATGTGCTTTTGAAATATATTTTTCTTTCTTCTTTTTTAAGTTGTTTCCATTCTTATTTGCAATTAGTAATACTAAAAATCACAATTTTTTATTTTTGAATTCTGTCATTGCTGTAACAAATGAACGATAAGTATGAAGAATTATAAAAAAAGAAAAAACGATGTAAACTTCTCAATATTTTGAAAAGTGTTTTAATTTGTATAAAAAATTTGAGAATTTTCTAAAAAATTATAAAATTTTTTAAATTAAATAAAATACAGAGATTCTAAAAAATTATAAAATTTACATAAGTATGAAAAAAATATAATTTTGAAAAAAATATAAAAATTCTAAGAAAAATTTTCACTAGAAAATAACTTTTTAGTCTCATTGTCTTGTTTCCGATAAATAGAAGACATTAGATACATGCTTTTTGAGTATATCAATAATTGTAGCAAAAATTAAGCGGGTACATATATAATACACAAGGTAGGAATGATAACACTTAGTAATATTTCCAAGTTGCAGTATTATAGATTATACGTAATCTCACCAACTGTACAATAATTTGTTTCTTGCACACAAGTAGAAGATACGCTCGAAAAGTTGAAATGATGATACGATTTGATGTAACAATCGTTGACAGCAGATGTCTGAGTAAGTCGAGGAAAAAACTAATTTTACAGAGCACTTATAGCAACTTGTGTTCGTATCCGTGGGACAATATAAGTGATCGTACGACTTACTCGAGCATGCACTTATCACAAATCAAATTCATTTCGGCACGAATAAGAATCGACTCTTATTACAATCGTATAATCAACACTTACGCTTTTTTGGCGATGCAATTAACAGCGTGTGCTCGTTGTGCTCTTGATTCATGCTGAAAATCGCTTTTTGTTATTTAATGCATACAGATCGTCGAAGCTGCTGAGCTACTGATGCTTTTTCAGATGAAATGAGGAGTCTGTGCCTTATTTTCATTTCGTGCGAGTTCATCGGGGCCGTACATTATCAACACTCCGATAAAATATATAGATACTGTTTATTTTATGTACACTGCGCGCCACATATTAGACCGCTATCATTTATGCCTTTTTGTGACAAATTTTAAGCCTGTTGATTGACTATAAAATAGAAAAATTTAAAGCCCTTTCTGTCCTGCACACATTTGTCGTATGACAAAAACACACAAATGAAGTAAGCATACCCACAGAAAAGATTTCTATATTCAACGCTATTACTTTTCGATTTAGAATAAAATAAGATCGATATAAAGTCAATTGTATTTATTCCTCAGAAAAGAATATTTTCTTCTTAAATAAAAAAAATCTAGAATAAAGTATTCTTGATGTTATTTCATTGATTTTCTTAACAGAAAAATTTATGTTACATTTTTTAGCAACGAAAAACTGGGCTCAGTCGGAACTCGAACTCAGGATCTCTCGGTTCGCGTGTCTCTCATTTAGCACGCTAAACTACAAGAGCTTTGCTGCCATGATGCTATAGCATCACGTACATAACATTGGATAGACTTATTCTACACGTAAGAATATATAAATCTAAATTTATACGTGTTATACTCGTTTCAAGACAAGATGTTGATCTTATTTTATTCAAAGGGTAAAATAAAAATTATTGATTTAATCTTAATAAAGTTATAATTTTTTTACTACATCTAATATATATTTATTTTTTCTAAAAGCATGTTAAACAAGAGATCGGTCTAAGAGAACACTTTCAGAAAAAATTTCTAATATCGAAAAAAAAAATATTCTTAACATATTTAATTTTAGCTCAATTATATAAAATATGGAAAAAAAAATATTCTTAACATATTTAATTTTAGCTCAATTATATTTTATATAATTGAGCTAAAATTAAATATGTTAAGAATATTTTTTTTTTCGATATTAGAAATTTTTTCTGAAAGTGTTCTCTTAGACCGATCTCTTGTTTAACATGCTTTTAGAAAAAATAAATATATATTAGATGTAGTAAAAAAAAATCCATTATTTTTGCATGAAATTGAATGGAAAAATAATGGATTTCTTTTTACTACACTTAATATATGGAGATACGGAATTGTCTCCGGAATCTCGGCGCTAAGACATGGCGCGTTATAGATACAAGAGAAAGGAGAAAAGAGATTATAATAGAAAAAACATACATCACAATTAAATGAAAGTGAATGAAAATTTTCTAATTTAAATTTGCTTTCAAAGCACGTTCAATTACGCTTTTATTGATTCTATCAATAAATTAATAAATAAGATAATACAACAATCATCAATCAGAAATTTCCGGGCGATTGAGAGCAATGATAGCGCAGAAGTTGATGCGTTTGATCTTCATAATAGTATATTTTAATTCTTACATAACATATCGATCGAATATGTTATGTAAGAATTGAAATATTATTGTGAAGATCAAACACACCAATTTCTGCGCTATTATTACTCTCAATCGCTTGGAAATTTCTAATTGATTGATTCTGTTAATGTTTTTTAAGAGCAACTTTAGTGAAAATTTTTCTTATATAATTCCTTATATAATTTTTCAAAATTTCAATATATATTAGGTATAGTAAAAAGAAATCCATTATTTTTACATGAAATTGAATGGAAAAATAATGGATTTCTTTTTACTACACCTAATATTTCAGAATTTTTCCAATTTTTATATAATTTTATAACTTTTTAAAAATTTCTCAGATATTTTATTGGAATACACTTTTCAGTAATGAGAGAAAGCCTATATCTTTTCCAGAAATTATGCATGTTTCATTCTGAAATATTGGTTTTTCATTATTTATAAAAAATTTGAAGAAATTTAAGATATTTTCTTAGAAATCTTCATTTTAAAAATGTGATAAATTCTTAAAATATACATATTTTTATTTTTAAGAATTTTTCACATTTTAAACTTATGAAGATTTTTAAGACAATACCTTAAACTTCTTCAGATTTTAATGAGAATTTTTTTCAGAGAGGACACATAGAAAGAAATTTATGTATGTTGTAATGTTTAATATACATACGGACATTCATTCAATTATACCTAACTTATTCCGAATTATTTTCTTATATTTTGTAACTATAATATATATATATATATATTATACATTGTAAACAGGATTTGACTTATGTTTTCGGCATTATGGGACATCCTGTGATTGATTTGGCTTTAACTATGCAATCCATTGGTATGCAGTATGTAGGTTTTAGAAATGAGCAAGCGGCCTGCTATGCCGCACAAGCTTACGGATATTTAACGAGTAAGTAGAAATTTTTCATATAGATCATATATATCAATGTTAATATATTCATTTGTAAATATGCATATATTAACATTGATGAAAGATAAGGATACCTTCTAAAAACATTTATTTTGCAAAAAGCTTTACAAAAACAATAACAGTTGTATAAATACTTGATTAAATAAGCGTCATTGTTTCATAAATAAAGTAAGTGAAGTGATATAGAAAATAAAATAACAAAATGAACAAAAAAATTATAATATGAAATTAGGCCAATCAAAATAAATTTAATTAAATAAAAGAAATCTTATATTAATTAAATAAAAGAAATCTTATATTAATTAAATAAAAGAAATCTTATATTCTGCAAACTGCACAACGAAATCTTTTTTGAAGTGCAATTATGAATAGAAATATGAGTAGCAGTATCACATGTTAAATGGATAAGCAATTTAATAATATTGATGTTAATAAGCATTTCATAAGAATATCAATTTGATGTTAATAAGAATCTTAAAAACTACGAATAATTTATTGCGAAAAGTATTATCTCAATCGGAATTTAAATTTCATGTAGCCGTCCTGCCATTCCAATTCGACTTTCTCTTACTTACTGAAAAAAATGAGTTTATATAAAATATAGAATTAATATAAAATATAGAATTTTCATCCAGGAAAACCTGCGGTGGTATTATGTGTCTCTGGTCCAGGGTTGTTGCATGTTATTGGTGGTATGGCAAATGCGCAAGTAAATTGTTGGTAAGCATTGATCTGTGATTCCAATACTATTATCTTAATAATTTATCGATGTCATATTAAATGAAGTAGGTTATTAGTAATAATCGTAAGAGTAAAATATCACGAAATATGAAATATCAAAGCATTCGTATATATATATATATAATACACGAGAATACGTAAGGAATATTTGATTCTCGGAACGGAAATGGATTAATTTTATTTTCCGTATCTTACGGAACGATCAACACGTGTGGCGATTCTCGATGTAATTTTGTTTATTGCGTGGAAATCATTGTGGAAATTGTTCACCCAACTGCCGTCTGACTTATAATAGTTGTGATTATAATCTCATTGCAGAAATCACGGCGATGCATCGAAGCATTATGTCATTCTGGTCTATGGATTTTTCTTTATGAAAACATCGGGCATGCATTTTTTGTTACCTATAAAAATTATGAAATCGTTGATTTGACCTTGCTTTGTAAAATTTATAACTTAAATTTTCTAGTATGCCACACAGAGAAAAATGGTTGAGTAATTTTTATTTTAGCAGACTAGTAAAAATATTCTGATTATTTTTGCAGAAATTATGACAAACTATTTGATTGAAAGTAAAAATATTGGAGATGTAAGATAAAAAATACATTTTGCGCCTGTTCTTATATAGCCTGCCAATTCCATAAAATTTGTTAGAATTCTATCGCCTAATACTTTACATTTTTCTCCATGTAGGATATAATTATAATGAATATTCAAAATCATTCTAATTCAGTACCTATATATTTCGGCAGGCCTGTGCTTGTACTAGGAGGATCTTGCCCGGAGGATCACGAGGGTATTGGTGGATTTCAGGAATGGCCACAGGTCGAGGCAAGTAGACCATACTGTAAATACGCGGCAAGGCCACCGTCAGTTGCGCTTATTCCGTTGCATGTTGAAAAGGCTGTACGACTCGCCACTTATGGTAGACCAGGTAAGGAGTGCCAGATTTCTTCTGCAGTTTTCGGATTAACTCAGGGCATTAGCATTTAATAGATGCTAGATATTGGCCGAAAAAGACGGTGACAGCTTCATGATAGTTTGCAAAAAATTTAACGTTACGTATATTTAAAAAATTTAGATTAATCATTTATAATATTTTTTTAATCTAACATCTTAAAACTTTAAAAAGTCATTTGTGCAAATTATTATTATAAAATAAAATTTGTATATCCTTCAGCATTGCAAAGGAGACTTGGTTCTTTTCTTTAGCTTCATATATTTATCCATCCATACTGTCTATTTTTAAATTTAAATTCTAACGTACTAGTTTCAAATATTACTTGTTATTCCTTATCTCTATTCTCTATCTTATCTCTTTCAATTTATTTCTATTTATCTCTTTTCTCTTTTTATCTCAGATTTTTCTTCCTCTACATTCTTAACTCTCTTCCCTCTATTTCTATCAACTTCTAATTTTTATTTATATCTAGGAGAAAGCCCCCTATTATGAAATAGGCGTTTAATATGAGTGGCGTTTCTTCTAAACTAATAGACACTATCTATTGGTTCCACCATAAATGTATTGCACTTGGATTGAAAACTATTTAGTAGAAAATTCATTATTAGATCATGCCTATAGTCATTGTAAAAAAAAAGATTTTAGAATTTGGATGTCTTCAAGTTGAGATGAGCATTGTTTATTATTTAATAAATAAATATTTGGCAATAAATTCTTCATGTAGAATAAGAGCGTATTAATAAAAAAATACGGGATGTGTTGAATTGCTTAATTATAGAAGTTAAATAATCGTAAAACTGTAAGACGTGGAAATCGTAATATGAAATATCCAGAGTATTTCTAATATGAAATAACTTATGTTCCCATAGTGATGTCATGAAAATCGTTGCTAAAGTATAAATGTTATTGTACAATAATAAAAAAGATAACCAGAATGAACGTTGAGTGCCTATTTCTGCGATGCTTGATTTCAACTATCTGAAAACGAATTTTGGGTATAATGTATCATTTTTCGCGCATCCTGGCTATGTTTGTTTGCATTTAAGAAACATTAAATAAAGTTTTTTAGTTACAACACTGATATACTTTGCGTTTTACTATCGATTTCTCGGGGCATCTCATATTAGAAGCACAATTTTTTGGCTTTGCGATTTCCTCACTTTTTATATTTTTTTAATTAAAAAAAAAATGGAATTTAAATTAAATTTTATATAATATTATCTTAAAGCTTATTAAATTCCCTTCAAAATGGCCTATTATTTTTTTAAATTCTGCTCACAAACTTTTAGCATTTACTCAAAATGCACTCGGTATCTCATAATAGGATCTTTCCTCTATATTTCACGACTAAATTCCAATTTGTTATTCTTCGCATAATCTTCAATTTTCATCCATTCTTCTTTCTCACTTCTCCTTACTACTGCTCTTTCTATCTCCTTATTCTCTTAATTCTCTGACTTCTTTCTATATTTATCGCACATCCAAACACGACCCCGATTGTCCTAACATCTCCATATCATGGCTTCTTTACATTCTTCTATTATTTTCTTATTAGACTTTCTTTTAATTTTTCTTATTTATATTTTTAAACTCTCTTCCTCCTACTATATATATATATCTTCTTATATGTTCTTGTTTCTTCATCTATTTCCTTTATGATAATATCCTTTCCTACCTTTTCTTCTCCTTCTCCTTTTCTGATTTTTTTCTTTCTTTGTATATTTTACAAATTCTATATACCTGCTTTTTCTTATTTTTTGTTTTACCCTATATTCTTTTTTTCCATTTTTTTTTCTTCTCTTTAATCATTTCCTCGGTATTGTTTAAACCTACTTCGCCAATTTCCTGTGCTATTTTTTCCTTCCGTTCTTTCGTTTTTCCAGATATGTTTTCCAGATATGTTTTTTCCGTTTTAAATTCTCCATAAATTCTTTATTCTTTCTCTTCTTCATGAAAAATTAGCAAATGGCTATACTGGCGGCGCGGCACTTATGAGAAACAAAATGACATAATTTGGAAAATAAACAGGAAATATAGTGCGAAATGAACAGATTCGTAACAGTTACTAGATGCTAGCTGTTTCTAATGTCGTTTTTAATCAAAGTTCTCAGTCGCGCAACTAAATTGTGACATAATAAAAGATTGCACTTAATCCTTTGACTGCAATGCTGAATCTATTCTAAATATTCGTCTTAACACAGCTCTGCAACTACTTAGGTAGATTTAGAAACTATGTGACTCCTGAATAAGTGCTATTGCTGTTTACATTCCAGTCATTCCCCCCCCCCCCCCCTCTCTCTCTCTCTCTCTCTCTCTTGAGGATTAGCGAAATCTTTTCTGTGAAATCTTTTAAGTCGAAAAAAAAGGTCAGATATTGGTTGCATTCCACTGTTTTAAGTCTCTTCAAATCGATCGCTCCCTAAAGAAGCCACGCCCTGAAAGACTTTGTCTAATATATTTTTATTTAACGATTCTATTTTTGGTTCCACGATCGAGTAATGTGATATCATTTGCGTAGAGCCATGAATGCTCGGGGCTTGGCTTCATTAAAGACCGTTTAATCAGAGACTGGCCATAAGGATTTCGTCAAATTTCTTCGAATAAGAAAGGAATATAGGCCATCTCCACTAATACCGATGTGTTATGCATGATATATACACCGCTATTGGAAGAATAAGATAGCTTATACTCTTTTCTCGCTCGAAGAAATTTGAGGAAATCTTTATGGCCAGTCTCTGATTAAAGGGTAAAGTTTCTAGGCTACATACTCCTCCAGCTCTCTCAGGAAGCCCGGAAAAGCATTGTTTGCGATGCAACTTCCTCTGCCCTATGCAACCGTTGGCATAGATGATAGCTTACACTTTGGCTTGGGACGCGACGAATTTCTCTTTGTTTGTTACACTCAATTACACCCTTGAGACGAATTATATCTGAATGTAGTCGTAATCCTTTCTATCACATTAAAATGGAAATATCTATTCAGGGAAGAATTCTCTAAAAAATTAGATATATTTTTTAATCTTACATTTTTGAATCGCATTATACATTGTCTACAGGTGCTGCTTATCTCGATTTACCCGCTACATTATTGACCCAAAACGTGGACGAAAGTAAGATTGCTAAAGTTTTATGCTGCCCCCCGCCACCGCTATTGTATCCTGATGCAAAATTAATCGAACAGGCAGTAAATTTATTGATAAAAGCGAAGAAACCTTTGGTGATAGTCGGCAAGGGTAAACGCATGGATTTACAGAACATTTTTATTATACCAATCATTTTTTTCTCTTCCTTTTTCCATTATGCTTTTTGTATACACAGGAGCCGCTTACAATCGAGCTGAAGATCTGGTGAGAGAGCTTATCTATTCGACAGATTTACCCTTTTTACCAACTCCGATGGGAAAGGGCGTTGTACCGGATGAGGATGAACGTTGCGTCTCCAGCGCGCGAACGTATGCCTTGCTACATTCCGATGTCATTTTGTTGCTAGGTGCGCGATTAAATTGGATGTTGCATTTTGGACGGCCACCCAGATTTCAAAATAATGTCAAAGTTATACAGGTAAATCGATGATTCTTTATATGATTTCTTAAGAATGCGACGAAGCGATGTATCAAAATTTTTAAAAGATCTTGCAGTGACGAGATTTCCATGCAATCTCTTGGATATACTTCCGAAAATGCCCGCATTTTCATGAATTTTGGCAGAAATATTCTAAATGATGTCAAATGAATGCTCTTAAATGAATTTTCACTGACAAAGAATCGCAATTTGTTTCTTGGAGAGTATACAACTTTGAATGTTTCTTTACAACGAATTTTTTAACTGTTAATAACTGTTAATAACTGTTAATAATGTAAAGTTAATTCTTTTGATATATTGTTTAATTTAAATTTTTGTATTATTTGCTGAAAAAGAATCTGTATATTCTGAAACGTTCATTCATTTCTATATATATTCTTCGGATAATAAATGGTGAAATATTCTTAATAATCTTTGTTCTGCTTGATTGCAGACCGTTTCTTTATATTATTGCTTTGCAAAAAACGAGCATTTAGAATATATACAACAAAATTTAATGCTAAAAATGTTTGAATAAAATTATATACTTTATTTAAATATATTTGGCATTAAATTTCTTTAAAATAAGTTATTACATATGTGAAAAGTCATGCGCCCCTAAACAGGGGGGGGGGGGAGATGGGCGAAAGTCGCTTCGCGTGGAAAATCGTGCGCTCCGTAGGCACGGAGGCAACATTTACGAAACTCCATTCCAGCGATACATAACTTTGTGTAAACATTTTTTGGTATTAAACCTTCGTGTCAGTCCATCCAGAAAATCCATTTAAGAGCATCATTTAGATGTCAAAAAAAGAGTATAGTTTTCCAATCCTTTTTGGCTCATCACTCCCTTTCTAAATTTTTTTTGTTCAGCGCTCTCTTTGCGAATACACTGGTAAATCAGGTAACTATTTCTAAAATAAAGCAATAAAAAGAAAATTATACAGAAACAAATAAAAAATATTACTCACACAGCAGTGCTCCACGCTCTATTAATAAATCTATACAGATGCATTTACTTCGATCATTCCGCACAAGAAAACATTAGCCGAAAAAAATTGCACATAACAAAAAAAAACTTTACATATCATACAACTTAAACCCATATGTATGGAAGGTTAATATTGACATATTTGATTCTTATAAAAATACATAATTGTAATATTTGTATAATCAAGTGAATGTTTAAGTGTTTATTTAGAAAATATTTAGGGAATTAAATTTCTCTGGCGTGTTCTTTTTTTTTTGCCCATTTGCTCCTCAATGCTTCCCTATTGCCCTTAGCACCCCTCTAGATCTCCTCAACGCCCACCGAATGATAACACCCACGTTAAGAATCTATGATTTAGAGTATTTCAAAATTCAACCGGGTGTTTGACGTTTTCGGAATCATTCACCCAGAATCATTCCTTAAAATCTTTTAGAATACTTAAGAAAATCATCTCATATACAGGATATTCTATTTTAATTTCTCCAGGCAAATATCTCGAAAAATATGGAACATATAGAAAGATGTTTTAGGCAAAAGTTGCATGGTTTAGAGGGGCCACATTTTGATCATGTTACTTTTCTTCTAGATGGAGGCGTCAAAAAGATATGAAGGTCATCTCTACTTTTTAAAATAGAATTGTGTGATTTTTTTTTACACAATATGATTCTTTTAATTATTCCGCATATAAAAGTATTAAGGTAGTGATATAAAAAAACAAATAGTTTACGAAACATCTGTTTTACATCTTATTCCAGCACATATTGACATAAAATAATTCGTAAACTATTAATTTTTTTATAATCGTACCTTAATATTAATATGAATAGAATAATAAGATGAATCAGTGTAAAGAATCGGTATAAAGAAAACACATTATTATTGTTTTAAAAAAATATATGAACAAAATGGATAATTTTTTAAATAATCAACTGTTATATATGTTTTCTTTCCACCAATTGATTCATCTCATTATTCTATTCATAAAAGTATTAAGATACGATTATAAAAAATGAATAGTTTATGAATTATTCAATATTTTATGTCAATATATGCCAAAATAAAGTATAAAATATCTTATAAACTATTGGTTTTATCACTATCTTAATACTTTTATATGCAGAATAATTAAAGAAATCATATTGTTTAAAAAAAATTATATAATTCCATTTAAAAAAGTGACCTTCATCTTTTTGATGCCTCTACCTAGAAAAAAATGATCAAAATAATCCCCCTCTAAATGCATTTGTCATCTAAAATATTTTCGTCTGAAATATTTTTCTATATCTTCCATATTTTTCGAGATATTTGTCTGGGAAATTAAAACACACACACACACACACACACACACGCGCGCGCGCGCGCGCGCGCGCGCACGCACACAGAAGGAAGACAAATCTATAGTATAACCGAACCGGAAGATGATTCCTTGTATAAAAATAAATCGAAAATATAGAATAAATTTTAAGTCGTTTTCACAACAATACAATACTTAATGCGACTTTCAAACTTAATTTTCTCAAAAACTAAGAAGCCTCAGAAAAAGTTTATTCTACAGTTTCCATTTTTTTTGTATAAAAAATTATCCTTCGTCCTGTTGTATTATGGATCCTTACTCTGTAATAAATGTATATTTTTTACAAAATTGAATGAGTGTTAAAAATAGTTTTTAATATTAATTTAAGAATAAAATCTTTTACTAGGATAAAATTCTATACTATAATATTATATAATATGAAGATATCGGAAAAGATAATTTCGCATCGATGTACAACTGCTGCTATTATTCCATAGATCGATTTGTGTGCTGAAGAATTGCACAATTCTGTACGATCTGTCGTCGCTATTCAATCAGATATTGCACCTGCAACAGAGTATCTGTCAAATGCATTGAGAAATCGAAAATGGCGCATTGACCAAAATCATCCGTGGTGGAAGGAGCTCATGGTGAAAGCCGAACAGAATAAACAATCAGTTCATGTGAGCCCTTAATTATTAATTGAATAAAAATTCTTTCTTTGTAGGATCAATTTGCACACTTTCTTTTATTAACTTTCATTTATAGCGGATGTCGATGGACACTAGTGTGCCACTGAATTATTATACCGTATTTAAGCATATTCAAGATGTTATACCAAAAGGTGAATATATCTTCTTGAATATATTATTTAGGTACATATGTTTATTAAAATATTGTAGAAATATTTTTTTATTGTAGAAAAAATATCGTAAGTATGTATTTTATTTTATATTAGCAATTAGAAAAAAAAATCAATAATAAAAATTTCTTT